CCACAACTATTCCAGCCACTGCTGAGGAGTTGGCGCAACTGCGTGCAAGTCTGCCAGCACCTCCAAAGGCAGATTTGGGGGATACAGTTGATGGGTTTTTGATGTCTGATTTCTAGCCCATGCAAGTTTCACATGGTTCTTAGAAGTACCACGTACCATATGATACCATGGATATTTACACCATGCATGCAGGCTACACCGTCACCATCCTTGGACGAGAAGGGTGAAACTCGGAAGTTTCAAAAGCCGACAGCTTGCAAAGGTTCTGCCCCAGCCCCACCAGCCAATGGTGTATCTACAGTGGCTACTCCATGTGTCTCTCGTAGGCCAACCCCAAAAGTTCCACCGGTGCCAATGCAGGAACTCCGGGCACCTGCACCCCGCACACCAGAGGGAGAGGCGCCATCGAAAAAACCTCGGGTTGACACGAATCAACGGATTGCACGCTTGTTGGGTCCCAGCCAAGCACCAAGTGCGAAGGCATGTCCTCCTACTGTTTCACCTACAAGTGTTGCCCGAAGTCTTGCAGCTGAGCTGGATGATGTGAGTTTGTCCAACGAACCTGTGGCCCGTGAGTCTAGCTTGGTCTTCCCAAAGGGGGTGGAACATGAAGGAGGTGAATGTTTGGCGGCATTTATGCTATCAGCTGCACCTGGTTCCCCTGATCCTAGGTTGAATTTAAATCTCCTTGTAATGCAGGTTTCTTCCAACAGGACTTTCATATAATGGGGACACATGGGGCTACACAATCCACTTGACCATTTTCTTTGAATCGACATGACATGCACATGCATTCTTGAAATCCAACCCTTTCGTACAGCTCTAGTTGGATATTGCGCAGGACCCAAGTGTTTTCATCGGATTTGAACATTCAGGATACACAAGATGCGAAGTATCAAGAGCTACTGGCTGTGATCGAGAAGCAACAGGCCCAGATCAAGGCTTTGACCAACGGATGTGGATCAGTTCAAAGTGTTTCTTGCCCTCAATAGCTTAGTTCGTTCCTTGTAAAGCCCACTGGTCCCTCGGTCTAACCTCTCCCACATCCAATTTGTAATTTTGCCCAGGTTCCAGGAGCGAAGCGGTCAGAAGCTGCAGTACCGGAGGAGACCAGGACTCCACCTGCGCCAGCTCCACCCGTCTCTGCTGGGACGAAACCCATGTCCGTGCAAGAAACTAGTGGTGATGAAGCTGAGTACCCAGTTGTGATGCATGGAGCCACTATGAATCGGAATGAAAAGCAGAAAGTTGCACGTGTGTGCACACCCAAGGGAAGCAGTGGTCATCTCGAAGTACCCAATGATATTTTCAAATTGTGGAACACGAAAGCTGGGAAAGAGAAACTCTATGCACTTTGGGCTAAGAGCGGAGGTGTTAAGGCAGGAATCATACGTTGTTTGGTTCGAAAAAAATGGAGTCCTTTAAACCCCCAGCCATGGGCTGACCCATCGAATCTTTCCCGCTAGGCAGTGTTTTTGGAAAGGGTCACAATTTTGTCATCGACCACGCGAAGCAAGAAACTCCAAGTCACTGGTGGTTTCTATTCTGAAGAAGACATGAAGAAGGAGTTAAATTACAAAGAGTTCTTTGATTGCAGCATTATTGCGAAGAATATCTTTATAGTTCGAACAAACCATGCAACAGTTGATGTAGCGGCTATGATTTTGATTTCTTTGTTTCACGAATTGTTTCCTCCATGTGGCCACAAGGGACCGCATTGAGAAGATCAAGAAATGGGCGATCAGCAAGAAGCTCGTGAGGCCAGGGTGTGTGCATGTGTGTCTGTGTGTGTGTCCATGCAACCAGTCTGCACTAGCCCATGCTCAAAATTCTGCGAGGTTGTGTGAATACGATGAGGACACGCCTGAGTATTGGGTCAACACACGCACTTCGGGAACTTTGTCGCGTGAGGATGTCGAGACCATGTCAAGGGAGCGCACTCATGACCAAACGGTTGGTGCGGACTCTTTCGCACTAGGGGATGGCCCCGAGGACACTGAGGGTGCGGGTGGATTCAATGCTGATTTGGGTGCCAGCGGCATGGATCTGGAAGGGGACAGCCAAGTCACCGTATCTATGCATTTAAATTTCGAGTTGGCATATGTGATCTGATTTATCCATTCTTTTTGGCATTGATCCCTGTAAGAACTTAGGCACAGTCAAAACTTGGGTCCTATTTGAAGAATGCCTTGAAGACCAAGAACAATTTGTCAAACCTCGGCGACAAAATCAAAATTCTTGTTGACGGCGATGAATCCTGTGCCGAGCCTTCTGGCAAAATCTAGCATGTTGAAGAATCCAGCTCAGCTCGCAGTTGGTTGAAGTTCGTCGGATAAAAAGTAGTATGTCCTTAGATGATTTCCGATCCATTGGCTCAGGAACTACAAGAAGCTCAACAGCATCATCAAATCCATCGACTTGCACTACGAAACACGGTCTGATATCCAAGCGGAGGGATCCATCAATGGTTTCACGGCTGAGTTCCATGGCGGCAGTATGTCATAATTCTAGTGAGTCCAGCAGAATCTTTGAATTTGAATAAAATTCACAGAAGCCTATCACATACTACTCGGACATTCGCAAGGCACAACAAAAAGCTGGAGGACGTATTCGCAGCCTTGACCAAAGCGAAGCTCAACTGCAAACAATTTCATTTTACGCATTCATACCATGCATATATTATTGTGTGTTCATATAGGTTTATTTGAAACCCAATGTACGATATATTCGCAATATATCGATCCATGTCAAAGTTTACATGCTTCGCACATTGCAGCCAAGGATTTCGAAGGAAACTTCGGTGGAAGCTGCTTGCAAGTAGTTTCCCAAGATACCATCTCATCAGTCTTGAAGTCAGTATGAACATATCGATCATGATTCGACACCTGGGTTTGCAAGGCACTTCGTGACAAAGGCCAAGAAGTATCGGCGCTCTAAGACTGAGGACTGAGATGTTTTGAGCTCAAGGGCATATAGCAATGCGCAAAATATTTGGTTTCATACGATGCCATCCCAGCGAGTTCTGTGAAAGTTGGATGAAAGCTATCATCATTGCATGGCTATTTCCCTTCTTGTGAAATCTGATTTTCATTATAGTTGATCACCATGTTGATGGGATGCTGTCTCAATCGAAGTTGGGGTTTACTGCAGTAGGGAAAGGCCCATGCCATAAACAATTGGCATTTTGGCTATAGATCCTATACACTGCACCTGGGGAACAGCCCGAGTGAAGAACAAAAGGTCCTTTCGAGTTGAGAAGTTTTGACCTTGTGATGCCGCGCTATTGAACTTGCGAGCATCCTTTGATTTTCCACAGCCACATGGGACCATGCGCACCGTATTTTTCATTGTGAAACGATCTCCAACCCGAAACCACGCAGGTAATGCAGAGCTGAGTGACACCGTCTACCACATTGCCAAAATATATGCCCGTGGAGCTTCCTGCCTGCAAACCAAACACAAGCATCAGCTAGGCAGCTAGGCAACACATGTTTTCAATTTTGTATTCTTGAATGATGGACATGCTCGCATGAAAAAACATCACCATGTATCCCATGGAGCCGAGGCTCCTGCGAAAGAGTGTGTGGAAGCAGCGATAGCTGCCCGGAAAAAAGATTCATGCCGTGTTTTGGCAAAGATTGCCAGTGCGAAACTGGATTCTGCTGATGAACCTTTGTTTGAAGCTTTGAAAGCATGTGGCTTAGCTCTCAACGTGCCTACAACAACGCTTCAGCTTGATGATACGTTCGCATACCCCTGCTTTGACCCGAGAATGTTGTTACATGAAGTGGCTAAGCGTGGATTCATACACAAGATCTTGGGAGTACCCATTGCATATGCTCACAAGACACTGCCGGAGTTTTGGCGAAAGCATCGCTCCCTGTATCCACAACACTCACTTCATTTGCAAGAAAATGTTGACTATGACAATTTGCTTCCGTTCTACTTACACGGAGACGGTGGACGGACATACAAAAAAAACGGGATTTTGATTCTCAGTGCTTACCCAGCGCTGGGGGAAGGGACAAGAGCAAACCCTGTCGATCTCCAGCCCTTGCCTGGTCGAGGAGTGAAGCGACCGCATCCAGATTGCCATGGCAACAGCTCGGAAACACCAAAATTTTCAGCTGGTATCAATCTTCGAGGTAGATCTTTGGCAAACAGATTTCTCTTCACTGCCCTGAAATGTGAATATTACAAGGATGAGCACCATCGGTTTGACGAACTGATTGATATATGGGCGCAAAAAATGAAGGACCTCTTCGAAACTGGTTTCGAATTTGGGGGTGACACTTGGAAAATTGCAGTGCTTGGCCTCACGGGGGATGCTCCCTTTCTTCGTGAAGCTGGTCGTCACAATAGATCATTCTCGAATGTTCGAAAAAGTGCTGCTTCGAATCGGATCTTGAAAGGTGTTTGCTGGCTGTGTGATGCTGGCCGTACAAATGGTCCAGCTTATGAGGATGTGAACATCTTGACTGCGGATTGGCTCGGCACAGTTGGTCCCAGAAATCCTTTGCCCTGGACATCCCAATCCCCGCTCTTGGAACACTTGTTCATGGACCAGAATGACCCTGCTAGCTTCTATTTGCCGGACACCTTTCATATATACTACTTTGGGGTAGGGAAAGACTTCGCGTCATCATCTTTGATATACCTTGCCAAAACAGTCTTCAAAAAAAGGAATATAGATGCCAGCATTGATGCAATCAATGGAGAACTCCAGCGTTACCTTGCTTTGCACAAAACAGAGCGAGCACACTTTGGAAGAAAATTTTCTAAGGAACTACTTGGATACAAATCTGGTCGCCACTATCCATTTGGTCGCTGGTCAAAGGGTGCTGACACATCGTTTGTTGTCAAATTTGTCGAGTGGTTGGTTGATGAAACTGTTGCATCCAATGGTGAATGGAGTTCTGACTTTGTGATCCTCAGTATCCGGGATGGGTGCAAGGCCATCGGGACGTTCTTGCGAATTTTGTTTGGGTCGTCATTTTGGTTCACACCTCGAGGAGCAAAAGACGCTATTCTCTCCGGGCTTGAGTTCTCTCGCATGTTCATGCGCTTGGCTTCTGTTTGCGTGGTCCGAAAGCAGTCTCTATATAAGGTGACGCCAAAGGTCCACATGTACTCGCATATCCTCCTACGAATGCTTACAGAGTATCGCATCGACCCATCTGCTGTTGTAAACCCATTGTCATCTTCAACTTTTCAGTGCGAAGACTTCGTAGGGCATGTGGCAAGGATGTCAAGAAGATGCTCTGCAAAAGTGAATGGTACCAGGATCATTCACCGCTACTTAGTGGCAATTGAAGGTGCTTTCAGGCTTGAAGCTGCTTGAAGGAAGGAAAAAAAAGGTGCGCAACATGAAATGTAGCTACCTAAGGTGATGGGGTCCAAGGGCATTTCTACGAAACGACCATAGATTTTCGAAACGACCAATTCTGAAATGAAAGTGGTTGACGACCAAAAATAAATGGTTGCCCAGCTTCCTAGGATATAATATAATATAATATAATATAATAGAATTTAATATAATATAATATAATATAATATATTATATTATAATATTGCAATATTGTAATATTGTAATATAACATATTGCAATATAGTATAGTGTAATATAGTATAGTAAAATACATTATATATTATACATTGTATACATAAGAGGTTAAGGATGGTTAAGGGTTCTCCATCTCACCTCGATGACCTCTTGTCGCCATAAGTTGCGCAAGGACCTCGCGGTGCAAAATGTTGGTTGGTCAAAAAAAAGCTATGGCGGCTATGGTCAATGGTTTAAACATGGTTTAAAAATGGTTTAACATGATTTAAGATTGTTTAACATGGTTTAAACATGGTTTAATATGGTTCAAGCTATGTTTCAACATTGGGATCTTAAAAACATCACTAAAAACTTCGGCTTGGCTGGAAACTTGGCGATGTCGACATGAATTTCTTCGCGCCCAACGCGCAAAAAAAAAAGCCGGACAGTGTCCCAGCAGCTTTGGTAGCAGAGTTGGAAAGCTCTGTGTCAAGAGTTCACGACGTCGTGCCTGGCATCTGGAGAAGTTGAATGATCATTTGCGACGTCAGGGACTGAATTATAAGTCATTATCTTATATTTATACGAAGTTGATGGTGAGTATTGGAAAGTAAGACTGCTCAACTATCTCTACAATTCATCTCTTTGTATCTCTTTGTCAGAATCATTGGTGGACTACAAACTTAAGATACTTAATTAAGTGACTTGACACTCTGACGTCAGGCCCATCCTCCTGAGAATTGTCGAAATTCATGGCTGGCAGAAGACAGAGTGCGCACTCACGCAGCGCCTGAAATCGGATGTGGGTCAAAATGGAAGACCATTAATGGGACCACAGATGGAAATGTCTAGTTTAGCATTAACCATCCAATTATTGGGGTACCTAATTTTGACCCATACCCAAATGTCTGAAAAATCTGGAGCTGTTCGCACTGTTCGCTGATAAAAAAACTCACCAAATTTACACAGCAGAAGAATTTGTTTCACACTTCGAAAAAAGGGGTACCCTCTGGTAAACTAACATAACTATGGAAAATCACCATTTTTCATGGGTAAATCCACTACAAATGGCCATTTTCAATAGCTACGTTAAATTACCAGAGGGTAATGTGGCAAACCATTAACCATCCAGGGTCCTTGGAAAATCATCCCAAGGGCTAAACACCACATTCCCAACTCGAATGAGGAAAATTACTCTACTTCGTGTGATCCCCACCATGACATGTCAGGACGTATATTTGGACATATATTTAGTATATTCTGACATCCTATCTGACATATATTCTGGCATTCTATCTGGCATATATCCTGACATTCCACCTGGCATTCTATCTGGCAGTCTATCTGGCATTCTATCTGACATATTTTCTGACATTTCATCTGACATGTATTCTGGCATTCTACTTGTCATTTATTCTGACATATATTCTGGCATTCTATCTGACATATATTCTGGCATATATTCTGGCATTCTATCTGGCATTATATCTGACATATATTTTGGCATTCTATCTGACATATATTCTGGCATATATGTTGGCATTCTATCTGGCATTATATCTGACATATATTTTGGCATTCTATCTGACATACATTCTGGCATATATGTTGGCATTCTATCTGGCATTATATCTGACATTCTATCTGACATTCTATCTGGCAGTCTATCTGGCATTCTTTCTGGCATTTCATCTGACATATATTCTGGCATTCTACCTGTCATTTATTCTGACATATATTCTGGCATTCTATCTGACATATATTCTGGCATATATTCTGGCATTCTATCTGGCATTATATCTGACATATATTCTGGCATTCTATCTGGCATTATATCTGACATATATTTTGGCATTCTATCTGGCATTATATCTGACATTCTATCTGACATTCTATCTGGCAGTCTATCTGGCATTCTTTCTGGCATTCTTTCTGGCATTCTATCTGGCATTCTATCTGGCATCCTATCTGACATTCTATCTGGCATTCTATCTGGCATTCTTTCTGACATTCTATCTGGCAGTCTATCTGGCATTCTATCTGGCATCCTATCTGACATTCTATCTGGCATTCTATCTGGCAGTCTATCTGACATTCCTACATGAGGTCCGGCAGGGAACACTTGGCATGGATACTCGCGGTTGAGGTCCGGCAGGGAACACTGGGCGTGGATGGTCGTGGTTGAGGTCCGGCAGGGAACACTGGGCGGGGATACTCGCGGTTGAGGTCCGGCAAGGAACACTGGGCGTGGATGGCCGTGGTTGAGGTCCGGCAGGGAACACTGGGCGGGGATGGTCGTGGTTGAGGTCCGGCAGGGAACACTGGGCGTGGATGGTCGTGGTTGAGGTCCGGCAGCGAACACTGTGGATCGCGAGTCGCAGTTGAGCAGGAGGACGAGGAGGACAACGAGGACGACAAGGACGACAAGGATGACAAGGAGGACGAGGAGGAGGAGGACGAGGCAGGAGGAGGCGGAGGAGGAGGAGGAGCAGGAGGAGGAGGAGGAGCAGGAGGAGGAGGCAACTGACATAAAATCTAACAACCCTCACCTGGCAGGTGGGGAAAAACATGACAAAATGATGACGTTTTCTCAGATGTTCGGGTTTTCCCAGCATTTTTCCAAGAAACCCATCAATATCTGCCGAAGGTTTACAGCAATTCGATATGGGCCAGCACCTGCGGTTTTCAGAGGGCCAGCAACCCCAGCACTTTTCCCGAAAAACGCCTCCTCGAGTTTCGTCGAAGTTCCATCCCCATCCACGTCCTGGTGGGGAACATCATGGCAGCTATGGCATGGTTGGAACATCAGCCCCTCCCAACATTTCCCAAGCACCAGATGTGGATCCCATGGAGGTTAGGACTTTCGCAAGTGCTATTGAGGTATTGAGTGTTAACCTGGCCGGTAAACTCTGTAATGTTCTATAATAATCTATAATAATCTATAATAATCTATAATAATCTATAATAATCTATAATAATCTATAATAATCTATAATAATCTATAATAATCTATAATAATCTATAATAATCTATAATAATCTATAATAATCTACAATAATCTATAATATTCTAAGATATTCTATAATATTCTACAATATTCGATTATATTCTATAATATTCTATTATATTCTACAATATTCTATTATCTTCTACAATATTCTATTATATTCTACAATATTCTATTATATTCTACAATATTCTATTATATTCTACAATATTCTATTATATTCTATAATATTCTATTATATTCTACAATATTCTATTATATTCTACAATATTCTATTATATTCTACAATATTCTATTATATTCTACAATATTCTATTATATTCTACAATATTCTATTATATTCTACAATATTCTATTATATTCTACAATATTCTATTATATTCTACAATATTCTATTATATTCTATAATATTCTATTATATTCTACAATATTCTATTATATTCTATAATATTCTATTATATTCTACAATATTCTATTATATTCTATAATATTCTATTATATTCTACAATATTCTATTATATTCTACAATATTCTATTATATTCTACAATATTCTATTATATTCTATAATATTCTATTATATTCTACAATATTCTATTATATTCTACAATATTCTATTATATTCTACAATATTCTATTATATTCTACAATATTCTATTATATTCTACAATATTCTATTATATTCTACAATATTCTATTATATTCTATAATATTCTATTATATTCTACAATATTCTATTATAT